CCACATAGTTATTTCTCAACAGGTACTTTGTAGAAAATCTTGATCAATTGACAAATAAATATATTGAAATTAGATTCAAATAGCATCCTCACATTTCAAGATTCGGGTATTTTTGTTATTTTAAAGAGATACATATATATTAGCAGTTATTTGAATGTTAAGTTAATAGAGAAGCACAGTTATCAAGTCGAATTACCAAATCAGTTTTACATCTTATTTTCCGCGTAATTATTTATGAATGATATCAATTTATTATTTAAAGTTTAAATTGAAAAAAAAAGAACATGATTTTATTTTATTATTATTGTTTATGAGCACAAGCCAGAAAATTTGGTTGATTATAATAAAAGTCGATTGTTTTATCAGTACATGCTCCTCCTCCAGTTGAGCCATCATGTAGACAATGTATAGATGGTAATAAAGGTACAAAATAGGTATGAATAAAACGGTAAATAACATTTCCTTGATCTCCTCTTGGGTGTAGGTGTGGGCATGTGTGCTCCTTTGGTAACTAGCACCCACACACCCACACCCACACCCCAGCTGATTTTTTTTCTTAGGATAGACCACAGATTGAAGTTTTTATTCATGTTGAAACAATCCATACATATTAAATTAGCAAACTGTTCTTTTTTTCTTATATTTATTTGTTAATAAATGTCAAATATAAAATAATCAAAAAAAAAAGAAAAAGTCAATATTCTTCAATTTTTTGTCGATCTTTTTCAATTTGTAAAACTTTTTTGTTAAACAATTTGAATTTGAATCATCGGAAAATGTTCCTTAAATAGAATTATTTGTTAATTGACCAAAAAAAAGATTTTTTTCATTTCTGTTAATAAGAATATTATCTTGATCATCATTTGAATTATTTATTTTTGATATTGTTGAAATAGTTGTTAAAAATTTACCATCTTCAGTTCAAGTTCGAGTCGTTCGTACTGTATCATTTGCACCTAGAATTTATTTATTTAAAAAAAAAAGAAAAAAATTTCAATATGATTCATATGATTTCAATTCAATTAGATTTAACAAATTTTATAAATAATATTATTATTTTATTAATTTTTTAATATGTTAATTACTTGTTTATTTGAATAGGTCAACTAACAACTATTTTACTAAATATTTATTTATCTCATATATTTACATAATATGAGAGAAAAAACAAATGTTTGAATAAATAAATAAATTTTATTATTCAATTAAGTTAAATAAAATTGGTCGAAATATAAAAATGGCTCTTATGTGTTTATTTAATTGTAGACAAATATTCTTATTTGTTTTATATTATATAAAAGAGAAGAATCTAATAAATAAATTCTATTTCGATTAATTCAACTAAGATTTGATTTATTTGACTAGCGTTTTTTAATGAAAATTTTTTGAAATCTAATCAAAGATTTAATTCCAACGTAGATTTTATTAAAAAGAAAAATTCTATATCAAAAATTCAATAGAGAATTCGACTTCTGCTTTTTTTTCTTTTTGTTTTTTAATGAATTATCTTGTTAAGAATCGATATATTGTCTATATTTTAATTCGTTGTCGATTAAATAACTTGTATATATATTTGTTATTGTTGAATATAATAATTAATATAATATAGTTATCATGATCAATATTTATTAGAAATAATATTAAATAAATACTTAATTATACAATTGATAATAAATAATCAATATTATTTTCTTAAGAAATAAATCTTGATGATATTATTTAATCAATAATAGAAGAAAAAAACAAAAGGTTACCTACTTGAATCGATGATGATAAAACATTCGATGTTGAATTTGTTTGAATTTTATTTGATGAATAATTAATTGAAGATATATTTACGTTAACATGTCCTGATTTAATATTTTCAAATGTTTTATCACTATAAGGAAGATCAATTAATTGATTTTCTTTTAAATTTTTATCTAGATTTGGAATGTTTAGAAATATTTCTTTATAAAAACTAGTTATATCACCAAT